TGAACCAGGATTTTCTAATTTCAAATCAATCGTATCTTCCTATGCACGTATGCACATACAAACATATATTATGTGCATATATATATATATATGTATACACACACACATACAGGCACATATATGTGTATATGTCTCATATGTATACAAACATATATACACCAATGGTATGCATCATCACAGTCTAGCATATGCCCAGTCCAAGAGTGGAGAGAAGACTTGTGTTTAGACTTGTGTTTCTTCATGCATAGAGACAGGTGGATTATGTGATGTTACAATTAGTTGGATTTGGCATAAGTTGTATGGTTAGACTCAAAGAGTGGTCAGTAAGGGTGGAATGTCAGATGAAAGGAGGTTCTTCAGTTGAGCATGTCCTGAGCATCAGCTATTGTCTAATGTTTTTTATTGTCTAAGATTTTTGCCATTATCTTGAATGAAAACATAGATGGTGTGATTATCAAATATTCAGATGACATCAATTTGGCATAGAAAGTGAACTAGAAATGGTGGAGAGGATAGAACTCTGGGCCTGGAGTCAGAAAAATCTGACTCTTAAGATCTTGCTTTAGAAACTTGCCAGCCATGTGATTTGCCTTAATCTCTATTTGCCTCACTTTTCTCAATGTAAAACAGTGATCATAATGGCACCTACCTCTTAAGGTTGTGTGTGTGTGTGTATCAAATGACATTGGACTTACAGAATCCTTAGCAGAATGCCTTGCACATGGCAGCTACTATATAAATGCTAGTGATATTGTTGCTACTGATGCTACTGCTGGCCGTGGTCCAGATTCAAAAATATCTAGATGGCATACAATTTTGGGCTGAATCTGAGAAGCTAAAAGGTAATAGAGATAAAAGTATTGCATTTGGATTAAAATAATTAATTCCACAAGTACAGTAACATGGAAGCATGACTAGACTTTGCATCAGTTTAAAAAATCATCCCATTCTTCTCTGGATTCATCATTGTAATAATTTCTTACAGCACAAGCATATCCCATTACTTTCCTTTACTACAGCTTGTTAGTCATTCCCCAATTGATGGCTTGGTTCCAGTTCTTTGCTGCTATAAAAGTATCCAAAAGAAGTGGAATATGAAAAAACAACAACCATAAAACAATTCCTATGATCTTTTCTGGTTCCATAATTCTGTGCTCTGTAATGGCCATTTCACATACAAGGTCACACTGCATATTATTTTGATGGTCTCTGACCCATAGAAAAAAGAAACCTTTGGAATTTCTTCCCATTCCTTACATGCTGTGGGAATATCTGAACAGAATAAAGCTATTATTTACTGGATTCATTTGAATCTTTCTACATCGGTCCAGAGGTGAAAAGCATTTATTGTAAACATGTGAGTAGTATTGCATATGAAATGTGATTGTTTGCCAAGTACTATGCTGGGTAATGAAGATGCAAAGACAATTATAAAATTGATTCCTGCCCTCAAGAAGTTCACCTACTATTGAAAAAAAAACCTATTGGTTTAAGCAGCACTAACAAAACGTATTGGTGTAGTAAAAGAGATTAGCCTAAATACATTAATATCTAGACAAATTCATGATTTTTATTTTATCACGTCAAAGGACTCAAGTGAGCAAATGCCTCTCTAGGGAAATAAGAACACACATTTCAGTTTCATACATTAAAGATCACATAAGCATGGATTTAGAACTGGAAAGGACTTTTAAACTCATCTAGTCTGACTCCCTAATTTTTAAAGATAATTAAGCTGAGGCAACATGAAGGTGAACTGACTTGCCTGAGATCACATCACTAATAATAGGTGTTGAGCCCAGGTCCTCTGAAATCAAAACCAGCACTGCGACACCCCTTGTCTAGTTTAACTCACTCATTTTACCTTTGAGGAAACTGAGTCCCCGAAAGGTACAGTGACTTACTTGGTGTCATACAAGTAGCATTTTTTTTTTTAGAAAAACAGAGAGCCAAATCCAAGTCCTCTCATTGCAAATACAACTTTTTTTTTGTTCTATTGTCATACATGCATACATATACATACATACATATATACACACACACACACACACATATATGTGTGTGTGTGTGTGTGTATGTGTGTCTTTTGTACCCCCTCCTTAAAGGCTAAGTTAATATTTAATTAATAAAGTCTAGATGAATTTGAAGCTGAAAAAAAAACCTTTTCCTACAACTCTGAGTCTCAATAGTACTGTATTAGGGGAGTACAGACAGTCTCAGTTATGTGGCATGTCCTTTCTCAAGATTTCCAGAAAAAAAAGCATAAAAATCAGACAAACCACACCCCCCATCCCCGACATATTGTTTTCCCTGGGTCCTTTACACTAAGGGTGATAGTTTTGTGGTCTCCTCCTTCCTTCTCGGTTCCTGTGCTGGAGTGCACACACGTTTCAGTGCAATCTTGTGTCTGTCTCAGAGGCTAACAAATGAGTGTGGTCTGGGCTCAGGCACTGCACACACAGCAGTTTCTAGACACTCTCTTCATACTCAATAACATTCCCAACCGTGATTCTGAAGACCTGATTCAAAGCTCACAGAACGGCACTTTAGAACTGTGGGATAGTGCACTCAGCTCTGATTTTTCTCTGAGGTGAATGCAGCAAGTGTAGTGTGTAAAAACAGTAGGGGCCTGCCTAGTCATTAGGGGCCCGGGGTTAAGATTGGCTATACCACTATCAGCATAGGAACAGAGGATGAAAGAGCTAAAACCTTGAGGGACCTGGTAGTCTCTTAGAGGACCCCAGTCCAATATTCCCATTTTACAGAAGAACAAACTGAGATCTGGAGAAGTAAAAAAGAGCCAACCAAAATGACACAGGCAGTGAATGTCTGCACTCAGTTTCCACTCTAAGTCCTCTTCTGAACCACTATGTGACTTTGGATGAGTCATTTTCCTCACCTGAAACATGGGGACTCTAGGATCTGTCTAGCTCATGCCTCACTGGTGAGGTTGCTAGAAGGAGGAACTGAGATAATACAACCAGAAAGGCTTTTAAAAATATGAAACAGTTGCATCCATTTGCATTGTAGTAGAGAAAGTGGTAGACTTGGCATTGCAAAGATCTGAACCCAAGTCCTACTTTGGGCCAGTCGGCTGGCCCTCTCTGAGCAGCGATTTCCTTATCTATAACATAAGCATAGTGATAACCCCTGTCCCTATTGTCAAGGGCTGTTGGGAAGCTCCATGAGATCTTGCTCATAAATCATCTGTCAATGTTAAAGCATTTAATAGATGCGTTTTATCACAATGCTTTGGTGAATAGATTGGAAACTCCTTGAGGACAGGGGAAGTTTTGTTTCTGTTTTTGTATCTCCAGAGCTTAGCACAGTGCCTAGCAATTAGTAGGCCTTTGATAAATTTTATTTAATGATTTCATTTATCCATATTTTTATGCTCATTTGTCCAAGTTCTCATAGCTGTACTTTACAAAATTCAGATTACAACCATAACATGGTATATATTTGTATCATTAAAGAAAGGATTTAAGGCAGCTAGGTGGCACAGTGGATAGAGCACCAACCCAGGAGTCAGGAGGACCCGAGTTCAAATCCAGTCTCAGACCAGATACTTGAAACTTATTAGATGTGTGACCTTGGGCAAGTCATTTAATCCCAATTGCCTGGGGGGGGAATCCATTTTTTCTGACTTTTTCCTAGTTCTTTGTTATACCAGAATGAGAAACTCCAGCAGATAACAAACAGCACACCCCTTGCCCAGATAGGCACAGCCTAGTTCACTTAATACTTTCCTCTCTTAGCGCTGCCCCCCCCAAAAGCTGGCCATAACTTTTCAGGTCTAGAAAGGGAAAGCTCAGTTTATTATTTTTTTTTCAAGTACTTGCAGCCTTCTGGTACAGTGTACCAAAAGGCTGTTGATTTTTTTTCATGTCTATACAACTGGACTCCTCCCTTTTCACTCATAAATTCCAATATGAAAGGAGCTTTGTGCTCTAAAATGAAACAATAGGAAGAAAAAAGGGGGACTTTTGAAAACTTTGAATCATCTACCAATACCCCAAGTACCCGAATTTTTTTTTCTTTTATTATTTGGCTAATGAAAGAGGATTAAAAAACAACAGCTTTTTCTTCCCCTTTTTTTATCCTGATGGGAGTTGGAGGCTAGGAGATTGGTCAAGACTTTCAGGCAATCATAATGTTGGATTTATGCAGATTGCATGAGCTTTCTCCCTGATGTGTGTGAATCCCCCGCGCTCTCTGCCTGCTTTGGGCCAACTGATTTAATAGCTAATGAGCTCATACTTCTGGGTCTTCAACCCTTGCCGTCACGATTTTACGAACATGAAGTATGAAGTCCTTTCTGCATCTGGCATCTCTTTTGAAGTGAATCTAACTGCTGAGGGACTGCTCACTGAACTGAACACTTCAAGAAGGCCAATTTACTCAGCTGGTTGCAGAGCCTTTGACCTCGGCGGTGGAACTTGGCAAATCAGTGAATACACTCAGGCTTAGTGTTCTGTCAAGAACAGTGGAAAATGCTCTCCAAACCCTAGCTCCTTCTGCAGAATGTGAGCTTGCAGCTTAAACATTCGTCTTTCTTTGGAGGCCAATGAGACTGGTTAATTAAGCCAGAGGGGTTATGAACTGTTGGCAGTTAATAAGTCATAAACTCCCCCCATAAAACAGGATGCTAGATTCCATCACTGGGGCAAAGACTACAAAGGGCCGGTGTATAAATATCTAATTGTACAAAAGGACTGGGATTTCTCAATGACTGCTCATCTGGAGTCTCTAGGGCATGCTAGCTGTGGTTTCCTGATTTTTAGAAGCCAGTTTAAAAAATGAGTGCATTAAAGAGTAATTTGCCCAAAAGTCCAGGAAGTCAAGGGGGTGGCAGTGGAAGCAGAAATAAAAAAAGAGGGATGCAGCCAGGGGAGGAAAAAAAAAGAGGGAGCATGGGGTGGGGGGTGAGGGGAGAAGCAGGCATCAGAAACTGTCTCCACACTGAGAAGGACGAGACTGCATCTGTTTGCTTCCCCTAGGATGTCCACCATGGGAACGGTACCCAGCAGGCTTTTTACGCTGACCCCAGCATCCTGTACATTTCCCTCCATCGATATGATGAAGGCAACTTCTTCCCCGGCAGCGGAGCCCCAAATGAGGTTAGGTTTATTTTCTTCAGAGTCCCGTTTTTATTTGTATCTTGCCCATAATTGCATGGCGTGATTACCCCTAATTTTCTAGTCCTTTGCCGGTGCTTTCAATTACATGAGATTAGTGAGCTCTCCCAGGAGACCACGGGCCAATCAGTAACAAGTGTATAACCCAGAACACGACTTGTCAAGAAGGGCCGCGCCGATTTGATGTGTCGTTTGATGTTTGTTTCAAAAGCTTGCCTGGGTTTGTTGGCTTCTCGTTGGGCTTTCTTCCTTGTGCCCCCTCCCTGTGACCCAGTGTGGCGTTCTTCCTTTTCCCAGGTTGGAAGTGGCCTTGGAGAGGGATATAATGTGAATATTGCCTGGACAGGTGGCCTGGACCCCCCCATGGGAGATGTGGAGTACCTTGCAGCATTCAGGTGGGTACTCCATTCACCCAGAGAGGAGCAAATTGCAGATGGAATGTAAACTGAGGCAGGAGTTAATCGGGGCAGAGAAAGAAACAATCAGACAAGCTCAATACAGGCCCAAGTTCTTGCTGAGGTAAAGGTGGCTTAAAATAATTATCCTTTTAAAATTTTAATAAAATGCAAAGGTTTTGTGCAACTAAGTAATGTTGGGAAGATAGCACAAGGGACATAAAAGAGAAATGCATGCAATTAACCATTTATTTGTAGTTTGTACCCTCACCCCAGAGCACTGTGGGGCAGGTGAACTGGCCAAGAGCCTACATAATCTCTCTACAGATAGAATTACTCATTTTTCTAAGTATTGCTTTCCTCCCTCCCTCCCTCCCTTCCTCCCTCCCTTCCTTCCTTCCCTCCTTCCTTCCTTCCACGAACTAGTCAAGACATTCTCTCTCATTCCTCTTTTCCTTCTTCCGATATTCATACTTTTGGCAAGAAGAATGCTCTAGACGTTATATGCATTTTGTAGCTGTGACAGAGGGGTTGGACCTATCATCTGTGTATGGAGCTCCTGATGTGGAAATTCCCTCCAATGCGAAGTGGCAACACACCTGTAACTTCTTTGCTTAAACAATTACATGGGGCACTGAGAAGCTTGGCAACCTGTCCAACATCATCAGGAGACACCAGGGCTTGCCCTTTCTCTGCTCTGCCTTTCTGTCTTATATTACTTCTAATCAATGGAAATAATGTGAATACTGATATTTGCCTCAGTTTCCTCATCTGTAATATGAGCTGGAGAATGAGATGGCAAACCGCTCCAGTATCTTTGCCAAGAACACCCCAAATGGAGGCACAAAAAGTCAGACGTGACTAAAACAACTACACAACAAGAAATGTGAATAAATGGTACTTTGCTAAGCACTTGGCATACATAACTTCCTGGTGGCACTGATGAGAAAAATCAGCTGAGTTGTCAATCAGCCCTGCATCTGGGACATTGGCAGTGCCTGCCTGAGGAGCTGATTCCCTTCCCGGGACATGGCTTTCCTTTTGTCTTTGAGGACAAAAAGTAATAATAAATATCGACCTTAGGTCACTTATACATTTCTGTAAATGAACTGGCTTGACTCTACTAGGCACATGTGTGGAATTGGATCCTTTAGAACCACTTGTAAAGTTCTGCATAACAAACCTGGCCAGTCGTGCAGTCAGGAAGCCCTGGGTTCAGGTTCTGATCCATACTACCTGTGTGACCCTGCCAAGCCTCTTAAATTCTCAGGGTCCCAGGCAATGATCTAAGAATTTAAGTTATGATGCTGATGCCCATCAGTAAAACTCTCTCTGGTGATGAAATTCCAAGAATGAAAGCCTCTTATAAAAATAAACAGTTCTTGTAATTGAATGAAAAAACAAGGAATTAGCATTGTCCTTCTGGGTAGTCAAGGACTTCTGTTTTACACTAATGGCCTGTTGTCCTTTATGCTCTGAGAAGACCAAAATGACATCACCATGTTAGAGTGAAGTTAGTGTGTCCAACTGTGGGTGATCAGAGTGATATGAACTCTGAAGGCTCTACCACAGGTCGGGCACATGTGGTCCATGTGAACATTTGGGCTGGATTCTCTCAATTTGTGAACCTCACATTTCTTTTGAGTTACCTCGATTCTGCTTTGTTCACAGAGCACAGGGCCTTCTCTGATGTGGGCACACCATGCCAAGCGCTCCCGTGCCAGCGTCTCCCATGTCACACAATCAATTCCAGAGTTCTTAAGAGAGACCTTGAGAGTGTCCTCGTATCGCTTTTTCTGACCACCTTGTGAGCACTTACTGTGTGTGAGTTCTCCATAAGATAGTCTTTTAGGCAAGTGTATGTTTGGCATTCAAACAACATGACCAGTTGTGCTCTCTGCAGTAGAGATATTAGACTAGACAATATGAGGGAAGGTGAACCCCAACAAGAATACATAGTACAACCTTTTTTATAGACTAAGTCCTCTTACTGTTGTCTAGAAGGCACCTCTTTATATTTCTTTTTTCATTTGCTTGTGCTTTACTTCCTTTGTGTGTGTGTGTGTGTGTGTGTGTGTGTGTGTGTGTGTGTGTGTGGCAACTGGGGTTAAGTGACTTGCCCAGAGTCAGACTGCTAGTGAGTATTATGTGTCTGAGGTCGGATTTGAACTCAGGTCCCCCTGACTCCAAGGCTGATGCTCTATCCACTGTGCCACCTAGCTGCCCCTGTGCTTTACTCTTAAGATGTGAAGATGTTGAAAGAATAATGAATAATCATAATCACTAATTCTAGATGATACAGTAGCACTTTTGTTCTTTTGGCAGGGTGTCTCAGAGTGGCTGCTTCAGCCTCCAGCTCATAAAAGAGGGCCCTGATAGATCTGATATTTCGTATCTGTGATAGTCATAGTATTAAAATTGTACTGAGAACAGTAAAATAAGGAATTCCTGCCTTGTGCTATCTCCTGCAATCCCCTGCTCTACTTCTGACTTCTTTATATCTTGGAGAACTGGGTGTTCTTTATTCTTGCATTATAAAGGAGATCCACAGCAAGAAATCTGGCCAAGTGGAAGCCTTCTCCTGTCAAGGGGATAAGTGGATTGAGGGCACAGTTCAAAGAGGTGCCAGATGCCAGTGGCAAGTCTCACTTCAACCCCACCCACTTTCTGGAGTTGCTCTTTGAGCCCAAGGTTGCTGTAATATACTGCGTTAAAGCCACCCTATAGAATAAAGAGGTCACAAGGCATATAAAAGAACTACTATTTGCTAAAAGACTTGTGGGTGGTCCGGGAACATATTTTTATATTAATTCACATCACACCTAAATACAGAAATAAGCTAGGAAACCATATGGGTTTCCGTTTTATTTTTACTCTTTGCCCATATTTCAAAATATTCAGTTGAATCATTAATTCCTAAAAGGGGCTACAGGATCTCAGGGCTTAAATCTGACCTCATGTGAGTACTTCATTTTTCTGCTTCCAAGATCAATCTGGCATCTTGAGGGTATTTTTTTAACCTTGTGTGACTTTAAAAGATCCTGCCATCTTGAACATGCTTACATATGCAAACCTACGAAGCAACCATGTAAGTCCACAGTCATAGTGAGATTCTTGACCTTCCGATAGGGAGCTGTCTCAGCCTGTTGTCCCACCAAACAAAATTCTTTTACATTTTGTTTTATGGCCCTACTTCTATGGGCCATGCCTACACCTTTTCATCACACTGGACTGTAGAAAAGTTGGGAGTTTCCATGATGTTCCCAAACGTTCTCATTTCACAAAATAAATGATGGATTCGCTATTTTTACTCAATCAATCAATATGTATTGATTAAACATCTACCATGGGCCAGGAACTGTATTGGACACTGGGAATATGAAGTTTAAAAAGTCCTTTCTCAATGGGCTTACTTTCCATTAGCAAAGATATCATGTACATAAAAATTATGTACAAAATAAATACATAATCATATTTTTGGGGAGAGGTACTAGCTCCAGGGGTATCAGGAAAGGGCTTGTGTAGAAGGTGAGCTCAGCCTTGAATGAAACCAGACATTCTAAGAGGGAGAGGTGAAGGGCTAGCGTATTCTAAGTATAGAGAATGGCTGAACAAACTGTGCTGTAAGGAAGTGATTTAATCTTATTTTCTGAAATGGTGAATGTGAAGAATTCAGAGAAACAGGAAAACTTTGATGAACAAAGTCAAGCAAATGATTTATGCGATGATCACAGATCCAGAAGATCCGAACAACAAATTTCTTCCACCAAAATTCTTGACACTTTCAAATGGTTCCCGGAAGAAATGGACATGGCTTATCAATGGAGACAGCATGAAAGAGGCTACACTGCCAACTGCCTTTGCTCTGTAAGGACCACTGGGATCTTTTGACTTGAAGCTGACTTCCCTATGTGTTCTGTCTCTCCTTATTTGAATGTGAGCTTCTAGGGAGCAGATGCCGCCTCACCATTTATTTGGTCATAACCTTATGAGTTAGAAATGTTTCAGTTATAAGAGCGATGAAAAGTCTTCCTATTTATGTCCCCAGTGCTTAGCACAATGTTTTGCATGAGGTTAGCAGCCAATAAATGTGTATTCATTTATTTACTCATTCATTCATAGTCATGTAAAGGGGAATAATGTCAAAAGAAGTCAGATTATTGAAGTGACTGATCTTAAATTCAATGAATCTGTTCAATTTCTACCTTGGCAGAGAGGTGGGGATTAGACACAGAGTGAGTCAAATATTTTCAGACGGGATAATATAATGGTCTGTATTGGTTCATGTTATTTATCTATAACCAAGGGAGGTGCTATTTGTGTGTCCGCCAGGAGACGTGTGTGTGTCACTGGAACGTGAAAATGAAATGAAAGTTATTTTTTTTAAGACAATCTTTAACGGGGGGGGGGAGGGGAACCGCTTCTTCCCATAGGTGATGGAAATGACAATACCCACTTCCCAAGTTTCCTAGTGTTGTAACTTATCTCAGCTTAGTGGAAGAGGGCAGTATGCTTCAGACTTTTCATATAGAATTATGTATAGCCATAGGACTGTTCCCCTGACTATTTCCAGAAAGGATTTCAGGTCATGACCATGTCTCTTCTTTATCTTTGGGGATTGGCAACCAGATGAGAGGCATTAACAATCATTGTATTGTGAGTTTAACAGAGGTCAAGCCTGTTGTCCAAGTCCTCCTCTCATGCTTCCTTATAGAGTAGATGTGACCCTGGCTTCATGGCGCCATGCATTGCCAGCTTTATCACACCTTTCCAAGCTTGAAAGCCTTCAGCTGTGACCTCACAGATGGATTGTATGCCTACTGTCCTGCGGCCAATCTGGCCAAGTTCAGAGAGTTCCATTTTGGGGACGTTGACCACTAGCTGGTGAATTTCTTTTGGCAAGAAATACTGTCATGGAAGGCTCACAATCTATGAAGAAGAAAGGAGCACTCACAATGGTGAAATTATAGATTCTTAAAGAATTAAATACAGTATAGCAA